CTCTAAAAAGAAGAGGGTGAACAGGAGGCCTATGTCACAACATGTCACAACTTCTAAAGGTGCAGTAATTAAGACTGAGGTATTGACCCAATGACAGACAAAGAGATCAATGGCTCAGAATAAAGTCCCCGGATTCAAAGCCACATGCATACGGTCTCCTAATTGATGACAAAGGACCCATTAGAATTCTCTAGGAAAGGATGATCTTTGGAGCAAAGAGAGCTCTATCAGCTAAAAATTGACAAGAAGAAAAGAACCTCTTCTCACACTCACACAAAAATCCCAGATGAATTACTGATAGAAGAGTAAAGGGAAATGGAAAACGCTTATAGACGGTAACATAAGAGAGCGTCCTTGTTATCTGGTAGCAGGGAAAATCTTTTTAAAAAGATACACACATCCAGGACAGAGTGAAGGAAGAAAACAAGGTCCAAGTACTGCTGACATGTGATGGGGAAGAAACAGAAAAGCATGAGCGAAGACAGAAGAATGGTAGTTCAAATCTGGTCCACAGTCAACCCGGGAAAAACTGGTAGAAAAGCATCAGGGAATGTCTGAAGAAATCTGAAGAGGAACCTCTAAAATCCACAGTGACTCTTGACGATGCTGCAACCATTGCCTCTCAAGTAAAAGGAGAGACTTTCACAGGGGCAAAAGGGAACAGTGAAGGAGACAGAGAAAAAAAGATAAGAGAATAAAGAAGAAAAGGAAGAAAAAGAGAAAGAAAGGGGATAAAAAGGACCTTCGCCAAGCCTCAGTTAAAGCTGTACAAAAAGCGCTGGCTTAGCTAAAGAAGATGAAGACAGACCGAAGAGGAAGAGTGACTAAAGAGACTTGAAAAGTTCAAAGTTAAATGTCAAGAGTAACAATTGGAACAAGAAGAAAAAAAAAAAGGAACAAGCAAAAAGAAGAAAGACTAATTCACAGAGAAAAACACTAGACTTAAATAAAAGAGAGAGAGAGAAGGCTTGAAAAAATAAGGAAAACTCTTAATTAAATCCCAGTGAGAAGCCAGAGTCAGAGCTGAAGCTGCCCTTAAACTTTTACAATTTCCGGGTGTTGAAGTGCCATCAAAAGACTCTTTGCAGAGCTCT